TTGAATTGTGATTGTTAGTTAATTATTGATTGCTCTAATAAACATATTTCTCTTAATAATGAAAAAGAATAGTAAACTTATTTACTTTTGGAACCTAACCCTATGTTTTGCACTAGTTCTTTGTTTCAGATAGCATGGATTTGCATAATAGGGCACTTTCAGAATCTAAGTATCATGTCATACCTGTAATAATTCAGCAACACAACAAACAATAGTCTTTCAGCATTAAAACTCTTTAATAAACAAAATATATATGCAAGTATTTTCAACAGCACATTAACATCATCAGACAAAAGATTTTTGCCTGATGCAATTCACTGAAAATATATGAACTTTTCAAATGAAGTAAGTACAGTGATCTAAGATTGCAACATTGTAACATTGTATTACAGTTTATAATGCATGTTCATTGCTAACTTTGTAAGGAACCAAGTCTGAGCTTTATTTTTATTTTACTTTTATTTTGCTTTCATTATATTTTGTTTGGGGCTTATGTTTAGTTAAGACGGTTTCCTCACCATTCACCTTAGTAACTTAAAAATAGAAGAAAAACCAACTCACCGACGAAAGAAAAGCGCCGTAGAAAAACTCGCGCACACTTGCGCTTCCCAAGCGGAAAAAGTAAGTCCGCACCGAGAAAAAGGGGGGGGGAAGACCCCACAACCCAGTTAGGAATCGCTAAACCTTAAAATAATAAAGCATCCCGATAATTGTTAAAAAGAATAATGTAAAAGGTTAGCGAAGTATTGTCGGAAAATAATCTGCCAGATAAACGAGAAAAATTTAATGTTACAGATAAGTATGTAAATGAGGAGAGTGAGCTCATTCAGAATTGTGACGTCACCTCACACTATAAAGCCTCTAACTCAAGTGAAAACGAACGAGGTGAATTCCTGATAGCAACGAGCTTATAGCAGTGAACGAGAGAGAGGTGTCCGATAGGATTTTGAAGTTATTCGATTTGTGGATCGACGATTATAGAAAGTCTTGAGAGTTTGAGGAAATAGGTTCCTAGTATATTGAGGTGACGATTAGGATCTTTAATTTATAAGAATTATTGTTTATAAGTTAATTCTTTGATTTTGTCGAATTCCAAAGGGGAATAGAATTAAGTTAGAAATAGATTGATTTGAGTTTGTCGGATTGATTCTTGTTGAGTTTCATTGAATAAATTATTGTTTGATTTTTACTAAATACTGTATAGAATTTATTAATAGAAGTTTAATTAAATATTTGATTTTGTTATTGACAAACTTTGTCATTATTTAATTCGGTGCACGCTTAAAGTCCAGGCCTGGCACACTAACGCGAATCCGCGTAAAGTACCCGTTAGGGAACGGCTATTTCCGGCACACAGTAGTGTCGATAATCGTTGGAAAGTCGGAAAAATAATATAGTACTTTACAACTTTTTCATTGTGTTGTAATTACTATCTTTTCATTACCTCAGCTTTCTTTTTATTCATTATTGCTTTTTTAATTTATTCTCATCATTTTTCTATTAATGTTTTACATTTTATTTTCTCATCTATATTATAGTCAGTCATCGTTGTACAGATTTACCAACTCATAATTAATGTTGTTAAGCCTTGTCATTCTTCCAAGGTGCACACTCATATTTTCTCTTTTTGGTTACATCATAGTCCATGTTTCTATGGTTATTATTCATAAATAGAATGCTATATTTCTAATTAGTATGAATAAAACTTATCAAGACTTGTTTTATCAGTGTGTCTAGTCCCATCAGACTTTTTTATTATCAAATTTAAAAAAAAAATTAAAGACATTTGCTGGCAGTTGATAGCTCAAGTAAAATGTTTTGTAGTGCAATAGATAGGATCAAAAAGTTCTGATTTCTACCAGAAGGGCTTAGAAGGGTGGTGATACTGTATGGAAAAAGGTTTTAACTTAAATGGGACATATAAAATAACATAAAAAATAAAGTGCTAAATTCAATTTCCTGTCTTTTTTTATTTACATTTTCTGGAAACTTTTTGAACACCACTCATATAGTTGTAACTTTTTCATGCTTTAAATTTGCATTGTATATAATTAATACCTTTTGTATAGATTTAAAAATATACAGGTCAATTTCCAATATAACAAATTCCATAATAATAAAATTTTCAAAATAATGAACAGTTTTCTTGCATTTGGACAAACTTAATAAATTGTATAAAACAAATCTTGTTTTAGTAAAATCAATAATTCAATATAAATAAATATTACTTTATCACTATGCTTAGAAATTTTATGGATAGAGGCTAGTTACTTTAGTACTTTTCAGGTTCAACAAAATGTTTGGTTATAAAATGAATGCAATTTGCAGTACAGAAATAGTATGCTTAGAAAACTATAATACTTTTTAGTTTTTCTTTCTCCTATGTTTTTATTATTATTAAAATTTATTTGCAATTAATTAATTTTATGTTTATGTTACCATTAAAATGAACAAAATATTAGCATTTGACATTAATTCAGTCATTAACAATTTTGGATAAAAGTACACTGAGAAGAGGAAAAATGATGTAAGAAAATTTGATATAGTTCATTTGATTATTTGAATTTTAATTGAGCCAACTGATGAGAAATTTTATTTTCAAAAACTTTGGACAGCCTAAGAAATATTCATGCATATTTGTCTCTGTTACTGATGACCAGAAAATATTTCTTAATAATTAAAAGTGTTGAAAGCTTTATTTTTAATGGTGCTATTAAAGATCATCAAAAATATTACACTTTAAAATTATAATAATAAAATAAAATTTTACAATGATTAGTAGCATTTGTATGACTATTTTTTCAAATAAAAAAATGCTTATAATTTGTTTTCTTTATGTTTATTAGAGAATTTCATTATAACAAAATAAATTATGAGGTCTCTAAAGATTTTGTTTTTACCACATGTAATTTATATTATTGAATAATCTTACTTATATATTTGAAGATACCTGAGTAGAGATATATAATTTTAATTACAATGCATTCTTTTTTTAATTTAGTTGTTTTTATTTAGTAAATTATAATAATAACTTTTTGAAAGATTAATGAATTCTAAAGTAAAATGATAAATAATTTCTAACTACCTAATTATACGGTTTAATAAGTTACACTATGCCTTTAACTTTTATTATATCTTAAACAATTATTAATTATTTTATATAGATTCAGAAGAGATTAGGAATGATGTTAAACGTATGCAGCAGTTTCAAGGTATTTTTGCAGCATTAGAGAGTTTTATGNAAATTAAGCCTTTTGCCATTTTATAATAATTAATAAATATAAAATGCTTTTAAAAATTCGTAACAGATGACGTCATACACAACTTAAATTATTATGCCGCGAAAGTTACGTAACTCGCTGTAATGAATGATACAGGCAAATTAATAGATTTTTATTATCATACTTATAAAAGATTTTGTAAGTAAAATCAAAGGATAATGTAAAAATTAAATTAAATAACAGATAATGAAAAGATTTTAAGTATAAAATGTTATTAAACTTATGAAGATTTCTAAAAATACATACTGTGTAAGGCATACCTCACAGAAATTTTTCTGATTAACACTTTACTAATAGAATATTTCTTTATTTAATATTCAAAACTTTAGGAAATCTCAATGCTTTTTTTTCAAAGCAGTTTACAGGAAGTTTTGAGTTACATTTCATATACTATTGATAGAATGTCAAAATCACATGTAAATGTTTAGTAAAGTCACCCTAACTTTCTTTAAGTTTCAAGTCTTTGTAGTGAGTAAAGTTTATTATAAGAAAGTTCTTGTAATAAACTATGTAAATTATTGTTTACTTTTGCATTCTAATAAATTTCTTTGTTGTTGTTTGTTATTTATCATGTCATATAGTGAATGTAATATTTGTGTTTCAACATGCAGATCGTATGCATTACTGTTACTGATTGTTAACAGCCTTATTATTTGTGATCAGGAAGCAATGATTTAAGAGTTTTTCATCTTAACATGATAATTTGTCACTTATAGGCAGCATTTACTTTTATAATTCAAGGATGCAAAGAATTTCAAATACATTTCAAATAAAAATTGGAGTATGCCATCTTATGGTTATTTTTGGATGTCAAGTTCACATTGAGCATGCTCAATTTGATCCTAGTTTTTGAAGTGAAAACCAATTGTTTCAGTTTGGTGTTGATAACAATATGGTATCTATCAATCATACATTAATAAAATACTCCATTTGCCAGTGATTTTTTTTTTTTTTCTTGTGGCATATTTTCAGGATGTATTTTTTCTCCAAAGAGCTGGTTTCATTATAATTACTTTTGGGAAAAAGATGTGATTAGGCAATATATATGAAGTGTCTACAGTGGAACCTCGCTTAATGAGCACCTTGCATAACAAGTGATTCGCATAATGAGTAAAACAAATTGTAAAAATTTGACTTGCTTAACGAGCAACGTTTTGCATAATGAGTGACAAGGAGAGGAGAAGTCCTGGATTGTGCACATGCTCCATCAGTCTGTGTTTAGCACTCGTTCTGCTAGCATCTTAATGTAGCTTGTGATCACACATATTACATATAAACATCAACAACCATAGCCCGTTATATAATAAACAAGCCAAACGATATGCCAAATTCATGGGCTATGTAAAGGCTATAATTAAATATTAGAAATTAATTAATTTGACTGCTGGTAGGTGTTATGCTGCCATCCTGTATTAAATTTAATGACCAGTTCCAAATTAAATTTTAGAAATTTCTAAATTAAAAATTAATTATTTATAATTATTAAATTTAATACGAGATGGCAGCATAACTGCCTACCTCTAGTCAAATTAATTAATTTCTAATATTTAATTACAGCCTTTACATAGACCATAAATTTGGCATATTGTTTGGCATGTTTATCAGACATATCTGTGAATTTTTCGTTTTTTTGTTTTCTGCAAATTGAATTTGCATTCCAGGTTGGTTCATTCCATGTTAGAAGAAAAAATGATGATTCATGCTTTTTAACAATGTATATTGTATAATTTTCTTTGAGTAAATGTTATACATAAAATATTTGAGTATTTTTTTGGCATTAAACACATTATTGTATTTTACATTAATTTATAAGGGAAAAATTGTTTTGCTTAATGAGTGCTTCGCATTACGAGTGAGATTCTGGAACAAATTATGCTCATTAAGTAAGGTTCCACTGTATTTTTGAAACATATCTTGTCCAAAATTTTTAAAATTGAGCTATCAATTACTTCAGATTTGTTCCTTTTATTTCTTCTTTAATTTTGTTTCAAAACAGAGTTTAAACTGTGAAAAATTTCTTTCTTATATGAGTTTTCAATCAAAAATGACTTGTCCACAACATGCCATCCTATAGGAAAATCTTTGATGCAAAACATGCTTTGTTACTTGTCATTAGGAGTCTTTTCCAATTATTTTCTTTTTAATGTTTCTTATTTTACAAAATTTGTTTCAAATTGTCCTTTAACCTCATCTTTAGTTTCAAATGTCTTTTATCCAAACTAATTTCTTTAATTATTCTGTAATGTTGCATAAGACAATGAAAATTATTATGAAAATAAAATCTTATCAGTCTTAAGAATTAGATTACAAAATATTTATATATTAAATAGAGTTATGACAGAATAAAACTACTGAGGACTGACTGATGAATTTCTCTTCCACAAAAAAACAACTTAAGGATCTTGAAGTGAGATTTTCCATTAATTAGACAGGTTTGAAAGGTTTTAGATAATTTATTATTACACTGTTTAATCATAAACATCTGTAAGGCCAAAAGTTATATTGAAGCCAAACAATTGCCAGATTAGATTGGACTATATGTACTGCTCTTGTTAATAATTAAATGATAAATAATTTAGCCTAGATGTAGGTGCTAGGTGCCATATCTTATTAAATTTAATAATTATAATTAATATTTATTTAATAATTACTTTAGTAGGTTCTGGAAGAAGAAAAATTGGTCTGGAGCAGGATTCAAACCTGCAACATGCTTAGCATTTAATTATTAATAGTAGCTGGTAATATAACCTGATCTAATCCTTCAGTATTTAATTGTAAAATTATAAGCTGCTAAAGTAATATCTACCATAAGAATCTTTTGGTAGATACAATTGGACATTTTCAAAATACTTGAGTAGTTCAATATATATTTACTTTTAACTCTATTCTAGCTACAACTTTTATCATATGACTGAATGATCAGATCACAAGCTATTAGGCTTGTTATGAAACAGCCTAAAACAGCTATGATTGTATAACTATTTGATTGTATAGCTGTTTTAGTTATTTTTTAGGATATTGACTACAGATCTTTAGTCGACATTTTAATACATTATAATTTTTTCATTTAAAATAATAGGAAACAGACTCCTGGTTAATATTTTCATGCAGAATGTCTGATTTTCAGGAATGGATTATCAATATTAAGTACAGATGCCTGTATATTAAAAATAATTGCTTGTTATGGCATTAAGATTTATTAATTTTTTTAAATCCTTCCAATATTTGCTACATTTTTAATTATTATTTATAACATTCTTCTTTACTTTAGTATTAAAGATATAAATTTGTTTCAATATTTTTAACAATCCAAAATCTTATGTTTGTATGTCTACTAAGTATTGCTTTACTTTTATCCATTTCTTTGATAGCTAATATCATGTTACTTTTATTAATTTATCTTATTTAATATAACTTTTTTGAAAATTTATCTTTAGTATTTATTTGATATGCATGAGTTTATTTTATTTGAATTTCTCACTATTATAATAAGATATACTACTGTAGTAAGATATAAATATTATTATACTGAATATACACATTTCCAAAACTTAAGGACAGATGACATTTGTACATGAATAGAGATAACTGTAGATGAATGTAGACAAATATGATAAGAACTGTATTACTCAACATCTTGCATAAGGCAATACACAACAAATTGTAGGGTTTTATGAATCAAAGCAATAAAAGTAAATCTTTGATGAAACAGATATATATATATATATATATAGCAGTTGGACATGGGTGGAGAATGGATGGAAAATGCTTACCAATATCCAGGCAGAGAGACCTGTCAATATGGAATATACTCACCTTGAAGGGTGATGTAGCATTCACAATGTTATGATAGGCTGTCACCAATTGTTTCAATGACTTTTTCCAGTTAACATCGCTAGCAATTGTGTTCATCCTTAAGTTTTGGACATGTATATAATATAAGACAATAAGTTATTATAAATAATAGTATTATAAATTATACAATAAAAATTGAATTTCTTTTAGATAGTAATAAATTCCTTTAGCATACTTGACAGTGAAATGCAAGCAATTGGAAGTGGATTATTTTTAGGGTATGTCTAATATTTGGAAATTTTCTTTTGCTTTTTAATATAATACAAATATATTTTATATTAATTATAATTAAAGGCCATCTATATTAGACCATTCCTGTGATCCTAATGCTGCTGTGACATTTGATGGCAGATTTTTACATGTAAGAGCAGTAAGAGATATTCCTAGTGAAAATATTAGAGATGTAAGTTTATTGTCATTATTTTTATTATAAAATGACATGATCTATGTAAAATTTTAAACATTATTTTAATATTTCATTTCATTAAGATTCATTTTAAACAAATATAATTTATAAATATGAAACAATTAAGTAATTATAATACAGGTATCCCTTGTATAACACGGTAGGTAAGTTCCGATAAAGTGCCATGTTATGCAAATCCATGCTACACAAAGGAGTAATGCGAAACATAGAGTTACATTCCAAAAGTTAGAAAAAGTATACTATTCTTTTTCATTACTAAGAGAAATATATTTATTAAAGCAATCAATACTGTAGTGCTTTGCAACGATGTATTATTGTGTGTTTCAGTTTTTCCCTCGACCCCTTCATTTTCATTTGTGATACCACCTTTTCCAGTTCATATTATGTTGGTAGTCAGACTGGCCAGTGGAAGTCACATGGGAAAGATATCTGCTTGGCATAGTATAAAAAGTCACAATCCGCGTGTGGTAGGGACTTCATTTTTTGCTTTGTTCTTGCTACCTGTGAACAATACGAAATTGAGAAGGCTAGTATTGAAGGACATTTTTTGAATGAAGGGATGACAGCACATTAACCTGGAAAGGATTAGCTTGAGAGGACCTAGAATCAGGAAAAAGGCTAATGAGACAGCAATCCATCTCCATTGAAACAAGGACATTTTATCCTTGTTTCAATGGAGATGGATTGCTGTCTCATTAGCCTTTTTCCTGATTCTAGGTCCTCTCAAGCTAATCCTTTCCAGGTTAATGTGCTGTCATCCCTTCATTCAAAAAATGTCCTTCAATACTAGCCTTCTCAATTCCTTCTCAATAACCTTCTTCAATACTAGCCTTCATCAAAATAGTACATACTGAAGGAAAAGAAGATCGGTGGGAGATTTCCCTTATCGTATTTTTTTTTTTTTTGTCTAGTTCAGCAGACTTCATTCTATGGGACACTCTACATTGGCATCCGCGACAGGATCAAGTTTTTGTAAAAGTCAGCCTGGCTTGTATTTCCTTCCTCCCTTCCTCTGTTCAGTCTATGTGTAAGGCTCATTCATTTGTATAGTGTAGTCAACTCTCGCCTCTTACCCCCACACAATGGAAACTAACAAGGTTAGTGGATCGGCAGGGGAAGTATGTAACGTCCCTATTGTTACTAGGTTTATTGGAATGATACTGTGCTTCTCCAACTTGCCTGGAGATATTTTGGATGCCTACCATTTCTTCTAGACAGTGGAAAATGTGGCATCACTAGTTAGTTGGGAGGAAACTGTCAAGGTGACAATGGTTGAGACCAGGCTAAAGGGGGAACCGTTATCAGTATTCTTTGATCTGAGGGACCAAGGAGTCTCTCAGTATGATGAAATTAAGGAGGGCCTTGTACACTCTACAATACTTTATTTTCAATTAATAATTAACTAACAAGCACAATTAAAAATACTGTTAATATTAATTTTAGTTAAACAATGGCATTTTCTTTTTCAAAGTATCATCATCTTCTGAGCTTTATTGTTGATCTTGATTGGAAATATCAGCAATGTCTTCATTTTTTTATTATTATCATAATTTTCTATGGAAGACAAAATAAAAATATGTTTTTTTAAAAAAATCAATTCTTTAAAAAAACTTCAAAGGTTAATACAGAAGACAACTGTCATTTTGTGTGCAAAATTTGTTACAGATGCACCCCTCTTCAGGTAATACATAACTACATTACTTGTATTACCTGAAGAGGGGTGCATGTGTAACAACTTTTGCACCAGAAATGCATTGTATTGTAATAAAAGCTAACGGATGTAATCCAATACAGATACTGCTGTATTTTGTTCATCATTTTTATGAATGATTGCTTACCTACAGTTAAAAGAAATTTAATAACACTTATCTAAAAATTTTTAAATAAACTTTACTAAATACAAAGATTAATCTATAAAAAGAAAACACAGTGACAGTCTTAAGGGCTAAAGTCTGAAAGCAATGACAATGACACCTGGTTGATAAGAAAGAATCTTTTTCTCCTCGTCCTATCAGTTTTCATTAAAGTAAATCTGACAAAAGGCACAAAACAAATTGAAAATTTCAATATTTGAAAATCCATGGTTAAATTTGAGACAACATGCATGCTTACTTGAATAAAAAAATTATTGAATAATGGAATTTGCACTTAAAAACTAAAATTTTGTACAGAGGATTTTCAAAACCATGTTAGAACAAAACTAGAACTTCTGTTGTACTGGGGATATCCCCAATTTTCAAACTGTGTTAGAGTGAAACTGTGTTGTATGAGGGATACCTGTATATGGACATCAGCAGTAATTCTGCTAATATCTACATTCCTGAGAGTATAGGGTTCACTACAGTAGCATAAGACTGATATATGTCAAGGTTTGTGTGTGTATAAATGGATTGGTTAACTGCTTATAGTTTCATGACTTTGTTTATAATACTTTATGGTTTTAATAAATTTATTAATTTTATAAAGTACCCTCTCTGAAAGATAGCGTGTAACTCAGGCATGTAAATTCATTTATTCTTTATACAGTAGAGCGTTGATTATCCGAAAGTCAATTATCCGAAATGTCAATTATCCGAAAGAATTCCAGTCGGCAAAGTTAAATTTTTGCCAGTGCTGTGGCGCTGCAATCTTTGGCTATGTCTTGGGCTACTCAAATATTTTACGTTTTTGATACTAAATTAACTTCTGAATAAAATTTGTTATTGTTTTTATATTTTTCAATATATTTATTTTGTTTGTACAAAATAAAAAAATAATTTTTAACGATACAATAGACTTTGTTAGGCTTAACATCAACGAAAATGCAACGTAAAGTGGCACGCAATGGAGAAAAATTTCAACATGGGATAAATTAATATATTTTTTCGTACATAATCAGTTATCTGAAATATTGATTTTCCGAACAACCCTAGTCCCCAATTGATTCGGATAATCGACGCTCTACTGTATTATATTAATTAATATTTAATAATAATAATAATTATAATTGCTGGCTGACTTATGGATGCTTTATTGGAGAGATGAAAGAGTTTATGACTTTTGATTCTGATGAAACCGTGTTGTTGATTTAATCTTGCTTCTTTACAGACACACTAAGGTGACATTATTCAACACTTGGCAAATTATTCACCACTTTATTCAGTTGGGACGCTATTTACAAGTCGCGTTTCGGGCATTAGCCCCTCTTCAGCCAACTAAACATTAAAATAAAACATGAGAAAATTATACATAAATACGCGAGTAAAACATCCCGTAGATAAAACATTTTAAATCCCCTTAAAAACATACCTCAAAAGCACATATCACGAGCGTACAGATGGCGTACAGGATGGACAGTTGCATATTCTATATATCAAGTGGACAATAAACAGATTCGAAGATAACTGCTTGACGACAGGGCTTTCGAATATGACGTTCTTTTAGTTTATACAAATAATTCAGATAAATAAATTGAAATTTATAACATATTTTAACAATATTTGTTTTACCTCTAATCTATATTCGCATATTACACCAAAATTCACACAATAACTGTTGTCACCTTTTTTATGACGAGTTTCACACAAAGTCATCCCAGCGACACTATTTGGTCTGCTAATTTACATATATAACAGTGAA